TGTTAGCCTCGCCTCGTCGCCCAACCGAGGACGAGCGCGGGCTCGCCTTCTCGGCGAGATGCTCCGACCAAACGCCTTGGCCTTGGTGCCTTTGCCATGTACTCTCCCCTTTTTCAGGGATGAATAAGATATGAATTTTTGCGCCATGTACTCTCCCCTTTTTCAGGGATGAATAAGATATGAATTTTTGCGCCATGTACTCTCCCCTTTTTCAGGGATGAATAAGATATGAACTTGATTTTATGTTTTTTTTTTGTTTTTTGTTTGTTTTTTTTGAATGCGTATGTTTGACCTCCATCCGGGAAGAATATCCGGGTATGGCCTACGCTCGGCTTTCCTCTCGAGGAGAAGTGCCGAGCGCAAATGTTTGACCTTCATCCGAGAAGAACATCCGGGTATGGTCTACGCTCGGCTTTCCTCCCGAGGAGAAGTGCCGAGCGCAAATGTTTGACCTTCATCCAGGAAGAACATCCGGGTATGGTCTGCGCTCGGCCTCCCTCTTGAGGAGGAATGCCGAGCACAAGGGTTTGACCTCCATCCGGGAAGAACATCCGGGTATGGTCTGCGCTCGGCCTCCCTCTTGAGGAGGAATGCCGAGCACAAGGGTTTGGCCTTCATCCAGGAAGAACATCCGGGTATGGCCTGCGCTCGGCCTCCCTCCTGAGGAGGAATGCCGAGCACGAGTGTTTGACCTCCATCCGGGAAGAACATCCGGGTATGTTCTGCGCTCGGCCTTCCTCCTGAGGAGGAACGCCAAGCACAAGGGTTTGACCTTTATCCGGGAAGAGCATCCGGGTATGGTCTGCGCTCAGCCTCCCTCTTGAGGAGGAATGCCTAGCATGAGTGTTTGACCCCATCCGGGAAGAACATCCGGGTATGGTCTGCGCTCGGCCTTCCTCCTGAGGAGGAACGCCAAGCACAAGGGTTTGACCTTCATCCGGGAAGAACATCCGGGTATGGTCTGTGCTCGGCCTTCCTCCTGAGGAGGAACGCCAAGCACAAGGGTTTGACCTTCATCCGGGAAGAACATCCGGGTATGGTCTGCGCTCGGCCTTCCTCTTGAAGAGGAGCGCCGAGCACAAGAGTTCGACCTTCATCCGGGGAGAACATCCGGGTATGGTCTCCGCTCGTCCTTCCTCCTGAGGAGGAACGCCAAGCGCGGGTGCTCAAGCAGGTTCTTTTCGCAAAAAACTTCATTCCATTGAGTTCAACCGAAAAGATCTACGGGTTCCCACTTTGGGGTCCGTGTACATGAGAGGTCTACTGATAAAACTTAACCAAGTTCTCGGCATTCCATGTCCTGGGCACGTCCCCTCCGCTCGGTGTCTGCAGGCGGAATGTCGAAGGGCCCACCGCTTCTTTGATGATGTACGGGCCTTCGTAATTTTTGGCAAACTTTCCTCCTTCTAGGGGGCGGCTCACCGTTCTCTTGCGCAGTACCCAATCTCCTTCAACGAACCCCCGCGCGCGCACGCGCCCATCATGGTAGCTCTTCACCTTCCTGCGGTAATTTTCTGCCCGAATGAAGGCCGCCTCTCGTCTTTCATGCACGAGGTGGAGCTCGGCTGCCAGGGCTTCCTCATTGCGCTCGGGGTCAAAGACCGCCTCCCGGTGGGTTGCGATGGAGATCTCTGCGGGTGCCCTTGCCTCAAATCCGTAGCATAGGGCGAACGGAGTTTCCCCGGTCGCCCTTCGGGGCGTGGTCCGGTATGTCCATAATATGTAGGGCAACTCCTCTGCCCACTCCCCTCCACAAGCTTCCAACTTTCGCTTCAGCCCGTCGACTATTGTCCGGTTGGCGTTCTCGACCTGCCCGTTCGTCTGTGGGTACCCAACCGACGCATAGCTGTGCTTGATCCCCCAACTTTCAAGGAAGTTGTTGAAGGGCTTGGACTCGAATTGTGTTCCATTGTCCGTGATTATGTGTTCGGGAACGCCGAGGCGGCAGATGACTTGCTTCGCGAGAAACTTCTGGCATTGAGCTCCGGTGATGCTCGCCAACGGGGCCGCCTCCACCCACTTGGTGAAGTAGTCGATGGCTACAATGACATATCGCACGTTCCCGGTACCTCTCGGAAGCGCACCCACGAGGTCCACCCCCCACCGCGCGAACGGGATAGCTGTGCTGATGGGGGTATAGTTTGTTGAAGGCCTCCCCGGTACCTTTTGAAACTCTTGGCACACCTTGCACTTTCTCACGAACTCCGCGCAATCCTTAACAATTGTTGGCCAAAAATATCCTTGGAGGGTTATCTTCCTTGATACCGCATAGGCTCCTTTGGTGGGCGGAGCAGATCCCCGCGTGCACCTCCTCCATGACTTGCTCCGCTTCAGCTCGTCGGAGGCACTTGAGTAGCGTACCGTTGTACGCTCGCTTGTATAGCTTTTCGCCCTCCAAAGTGTACCTCGGTGCCCTAGTGCGGACCAACTTGGCCTTTACTGGATCGTCTGGGAGGGCGCCATCCTTCAAGAAGGCAACTATGTCGTCCATCCAATCTCTCGGCCGAGCACAGATCATCGCCACGGGGAAGGCATGGATGCTCGGCTCGGACAACTCTTCCACGTTCGCCATCCGCGTGATATGCTCGGGCGTGTCCGAGTTCAGCTTTGACAAGATATCCGCCTCGGCATTCTCCGCCCGAGGGATCTGCTCCACACTATATGCGGTGAAACTCTTAAGCAACTCTAGAGCGGTATCTCTGTACTTCTTCATTCTTTCGTCCTTCGCCTCAAACTCTCCCGAGACGTGGCCAACCACCAGCTTTGAATCACACTTTATCCTTAGCTTTGTTGCGTTCATCACGGCTGCTAGGCGTAGCCCGCACAGGAGCGCTTCATATTCCACTTCATTGTTTGATGCCTTGAAACCGAATCGAATTGAGTAGTATGCTCTGAAGCCTTCGGGAGCGATGACTACCACTCCACCTCCCGAGTTTTTGGCGGCAGAGGAGCCGTCGGTAAAAACTATCCACCAGTCCTCGGCTTCCGGCTCTTCCGGGCTCGGCTCCTCCCGAGCGGTGCACTCCACCACGAAATCGGCTAGCGCCTGGCCCTTGATCGCTGGCCTTGGCTTAAATTCGATCTGGAAAGCTCCAAGGAACACCGCCCACTTGGACATGCGTGAGGGTGCGTTCGGGCTCCTGAGCAGCGCACCAATGGGCTCTTGGGAGAGCACTTGAACCGGGTGAGCTTGGAAGTAGGGTGTTAGACACTGCACGGTTGAAACCACGGCGAGGACCGTCTTCTCGGCTACTGAGTATCTGAGCTCGGCACCCCTCAGCATCTTCGCCGTATAATACACCGGGTGCTGAGCTCCGCCTTCGTCTCGAACTAGGACCGAGCTCAAAGCTTTGGGTGAAACTCCCAAGTATAAGTACAAGGTCTCCCCCGCTTCGGGTTTCGCGAGCACCGGAGGAGAGAGGAGGAAGGACTTGAGGGATTCAAAGGATTGTTGGCATTCTTCCGTCCACACGAACCCTCGGGACTTCTTCACCGCTTGGAA